CAAAATTTAGAAGCAGCCTCAATATCATAACACGGTTTCAAACACAAAAATAAGATCAAATCAACACGCCATTTTCCAACCTTTGCTTGATTCAGTTCGTATCTCTCTCGTGTTTGTCTATTGCTTCTTGTGTTTCTCAATTTTGTTCGCTCTCTTCTCGTTTCATCCCAATTCCATTTCGATTTCATTTCTCTATCTCACGGATTCGGCTTGTGTTTGGTTTGTATTTGGTTGTTGTTTTGAAGGATCTGTGATTTGTGGTTATTTTGTGTTGAAGGTTGTTGTTGGTTTGTTGCCGAGCTGGATTTTTACAGGTGGTTTAAGTGTGTATGAACCTGAAGATGGAAGGAAGTTTATTGAAGATTTACGATTGAATGGTATTTATTGTGGTTGAAGTTTCGCAACATTGAGGAGCAGAGGTTGTTATTTATAGTGTAAGATGTGAGAAAATTTGGGAAAGAATTTGTTGTCATTTATGTGAATTGTGACGTTTTTGGAACGTTCATTTTTGCACTTGTTGTGTTTTGTTCATTCAAGTCGTTTTGTTAATTTTCTTTGCAATGTATTACGTAAGTTGTGACGTGGTTTTGGTATTGTTATGGTTTGCGCAGGGTCATTTATGTGCTGGTAAAGTTGCGTGGCTAGCTGGCTTAGAAGGTTTGTTGCGGGTGAAGCATGTAAAGGATGTTGCGTAATGGCTTGGCTAGGAATTAGTGGTAATTCACTTGGCTGGAGAATTGGTGCTTAGTCTCTTGGCGTGATATGCTTTCACGTGTGTGTTTTTGTGAAGCATTTTGTGGCTTGGTAAAGTTGTTGTGCAGCTGGCTCACATTTAATGTTAATGGTTGCAACTGATAGAAATGGATCATGATGCGTGAGATTGGCTATTGGACATTTTTTTATGATGGTTTCAAGTGAGGTAGAAACAACTTGGATATGTGGTAGGAGCTGCTTGTGTATTCTTGGGTGGTAACATGGATTCTTAAAAAGACTTGGCTTATTGAAATTATTTAATGGTTTTTTTTTTTTGTAGAACTTGTATTATAATGAACTTATATTATACACCTCATTTTTTGCTTTAAATTCTTTCCTAACTTAAATTGGGCCTTAAATTATCATGAGCACCATTTGAACCATGACTTGTAATACGGTGATGATAACTTGAATTATGATGATGATTGATATTTGAAATTCTTGATTAAACTTAAACAACAACATGCTTGTCCATGGATGAAAGTAAGAATAGAGGCCACGTTTATTTGAATCCAAAGCCATAACATCGTTTCTGAGCTTCTAATAATCAACTTGAAAAATGATGAAAACATCATGAACCAAATGAATCATGCCTTAAAATTAAGGGTCACACTTGAGAACCAATAACAAACCCATCTCGAACTTTGATGGAGTCATCTAGAATTCTTCTTGAATTAATTCCACTTGGATCACAGATGAACCAAAATCTTTGAGCAGCACTATGAACAACATGAACATGCCTTGAAATTAGAGAATCATAACTTGAGATATGAACTTCTACACACTACATAAAACCCTAACTGAAAAATGAGCTAGATCCTGATGATTATCAACCCTGAAACACTTGACTTTGCCACAGCCTGATATCTTGAGAATGAGGCAAACCACTCAAATTCCCACTAAACTTCAACCATCATTGCCCACACACTTGACCTGATAACCCTGCCTGAAACCCAATTCAATCTTGTAGCGAGTTGGACTTAGGTAAGAAGAAGAAATGAAAACAACTCCATATTTTTGGAGTTTTTGAATAATGGTTAATAGATGGAAACACAAATTAGGGTAATATACAGGTAGGACAAATTTGGGGTATGACATTAGCGTCCTAGTTTCAATTAATGATCATAACAGATGTACGTTCTTCCTTTCTAGGCATCTCTTGTTCGATCTATTGGGGCATCATTTGTTGTTTTTTGTTCACAGTGTTTTCCTCCAACACCGCCCCCTCGTTTCAAACCTGTCTAACGACCTGGGGTTGAACAACGAGACGAACCTGCACCGGGGGAGCGCAAAAAAAAAACAACAATTCTAGCCATTTGAGTTGTCAACTTCTGGTAACTTTGATTTGTGTTTTAAATCAATGGGTTGAATATTGTACCCATCTGTTATGTTAGAGTATTTACCATGTCATGGTTACTCTCGTCCATTTATTGTCGCATTTCCATGACATAATTGGTCGTCAATGCAGGCATTGCTTGGGAACCAAATCTCGTTCCCGCATGGGGTGGCATAGTTCTACCATGATTGCTTATGGCTGATCCAAACGCCATGAAGGGAGAATATGCATTCGCAGTGTTATCAGCAAATGTCAATGGATTATTATGTAAACCTGCCAACACTATTGTTGTCATTCCATAAGGTTGTCCACACCCTAACATGGGCATTGTGAAATTTGTGACAAAAGACCTAAAGTCTGACGCCACAATAGGTCTAGAAGTCACTGGGTGACTCTGGGGTATTGGAGACAAAATCACCCCTTTAGGTAAAGTTATTGGTGCAACCGTCGTAGACGGTATTACCGTAGTACTAGCAGTCGAAGGAATGTGCTTAGTCATTATGGTAGAAATTGTGCTCGTCCTAGCACTATTAGAAGGTTGTTATCCATTGTTATTCCTGGGAATGGCCATTCTTCTGACGCATCTTTTTACAGATCTCCTAACTTCTCTTTTTTTTACCACACCTTAATCTCATGCACACTTGCACTCACAGAATGAGAAGTTAATGGAATGAAGAATTATAATTCTCAAAAATGCAAAGTAAAACACACACAAAAAGGTCCCGTTGGGCATATCAATTTGTTTATAGTGAAATTTGGTAAATAAAATAAGTTTTTATTAATACTTAAGGGGTCAAACTCGAAAATCTCTCGGAACATATTTGTGTGAATTTATGACTTTGAACAACATTTTATTGTTGAATTTAAAGGGAAATCCTTTGAAAATGTTTCAATACCGTTTTGTAACAAGACTTGAGATAAAAGGTTTTTTAGAATGAAGACTGAAATCGAAATGTAGGATGAAGTAAAAGCATAAATTGTAAAGTGAAATCGAAAATTAACTTAATGGCATTTAGGTACCTAAATGTAAAAAGACTTGAAATTGATAAATTGTGGAACGCATACGTACATTTCCCTCACTCGTTTCTCAAATGCGCATATACTTTGAGTTTACAGAATATGAGTACAATTGCGGACCCCTTACCAAATGAACATGAGTTCCTTTATATACTACTTTAAAATAACTACCTAAGAACGGTCGACTAACTCCGTCACGACACGTTTCAGTCCCATGCATCAGTTTCCTCTTACGAGCATCCACATGTCTTCGAGTAACCGTCTATGTTAAATCAATTCCCGTTAACACCTTTCAAATATCTTAACTACTTCTACTGGTCATTAGAAATTAGCTTCCTACCTCGAAGTCCTTAAGGTCCACCATGCTACAACGACACACTCTATAGTACTTTCCACATGCAGTGCCCAAGTCGACATTGTTTCCATTGTAATGATGAACTCCAACATTAGCCAACATAACATATTACTCAAATTCACTAAGTCCATGAACTCTTACAATGTCCTTCAACTTACCACTACTTCGACTGACATCGCTATGTGTGACCCCTGACCTTGCATCAGCTCGATTTCCCTTTGACTTCAGTTTACCCTAACTTTCCACGTGGCATATTTATCGTTGCTCTATTAATATTTGCCACTTATAATTAAGTCAAAAAATTCTAGGTAACACATACAGCTTTTATTACTAACAACAACAACATATCAACTCATAAAAAATTTCAGAAATGTACCTGTCCCAGAATGACATCCATAATGAAAGGAGGATGAAGTTGAAGTGAGAGTTATAAACTTGTGTTAGAATGAATGTCATTTTGGGTCTTTCACGTAAGCTTGCAACACTCATTTTAGCATCATCCTTGTTAATTTTTTTTCATTCATCTTCCCTACCTACAATTCAAAACCAACATAAAGTTCACTTATCTTAAATTATACATGTCATATTATCCTATAAACGTTATGAAACAAGCTATTGAAACTTAAACAATGATGTATAAACAACATAGTTCACTTCTTAGGTTATACATTCACCCATATTAAATTAACTTCTAAGCATATTTTGAAACAGAAACTATTGTGAAGATGAACCAGTAACGTAGCCACTTCCTAAGATTTAATGCAACAAAGGTAATCCTTCGAAGAATACGAGTTCGTTACATGAATTTAGAGGTTCCATTTTGCATGTTTGTGAAGAAAGGTTGTTGAAATATTAATGTAGATTAGGATATATGAGAGAGACGGGTGAAAGGATGTTAGAGATTTGTTTTGAGAGAGACGGTTGTTCTGTACGGAAGCAAGAGATAATTTTGTTTATATAAAAATATGTAAAATCTTACCAAAATTGATAATAAGAACGGTGATGAAATGGTAACAACTCACACCGTAGTTGATGATATGAATCGTAATGATCTACAAGGACAAACCCATTTAATAACTAAAAAATATATAATTGTTAGTGCTAAGATTCTAACCCTTATATTTCAAGTACATTTCATCACGATTGTTAACCATGATCATAATCAAATGTTCCTTAATAAATTGAAGGAAAAAAACAGTTATTACCACAATTAAAAAAAACATTGTTAATATGATATTATAAAATGTCGATTTTCAATAGTGATAGAATTTTTTATGCTGAGTATATTATGAGCTTGTTATAGGATAATGTTAGAGAAATAACTAACATATGAGGGTGTGTTTGTAGTCCTTCTTTATTTGTGGACTTAGGCATCTTTATTACAAATAAATAAAATTGAATTGTATGATTAAATTTGTGAGTCATCCGATGACGTGGCATATGTGAACCGAATGATAACTCATCCAAAGAGACGGTTGTTGATTCAGACAAATTCCGCAAATTAATTCTATTCTATTCTGTTATGATTCAACTCACGCCATGCCTACAACTCTTCTAACTCCTCCAAATACCCCTCTCTTATCATATAATTCCACTCTTATCCCCACTCGTATTTCACAATCTCGCCACCACGCACCTCAACGATCTTCCCATTCATTTCGCATCTCTTGTTCAACCGCATCTGGTACACTTCCTTTTCTCTCTCTCTCCCATTTTCTCCGCTTCTGCTATGTCTGTGAATTCTCATACACGTTTTCGATGCTTTTCGGCTTCAAATTTATTTTCAACGATCTAGTTTTTTTCGATAATATAATACCAGTGACGATGGTTCTGTGAGGAATTATTCGTTTTCGGTTATTATGTAGAAATAGCACGCCACTGGTTTTTGATATGCTTCGTTGTCGTAGTTCTTTCCTTCATTTTTGTTTGGATTTACCTGTTTTATTCGTTTCAGCTTGTTTTTTATTTTATTGGCGTTAATTACTGTTGAATCAAATCTTGAAATCATCGTTGTGATTAATTGAAGCTAGGCAAGGCTTGCAGCTTAATCTTCGTGTTGTGATTAATTGAAGCTATGCAAGGCTTGAAGCTTAATCTTCGTTGTGTAGGATAGGTCAATATCGCGATTCCACTTACTATAAAGATACATACAAAGAAAATATGGGTGAAACTATAGAATATAGAAGGTTTTAAATAACAGTGGTGTTGTAAAGACTTTTGGTACAGGCATTGTGACAGTGATTGCAGTGTCGCGGTCTGAATTAACCAGAATTTGTTTAACATAAAAATGGTATAGATATCAGCGTGCCAATATCATTTTTTCGCGGCCGTTTTTGCAATCGCGGACAGTTTAAAATCTAGTTTATAGCTGATGAACATATAGTTGATAATTTGTAGTGTTCCATGAAATTAATATTTGAAGTGATAATCTCTCCGATTTTTTATCATAATGAGAAATTATCAAGAATTTATTGGTAAAACAATTTATAATTTTGAAGGTATAATAAGAAAAATAATATATATAATTCATTGGTATTGTAAAACAACTTATAATTTGGAACAAATATTTTTCTTAAAAGGACATATAATAAAAAATGGAGGAAGTAAGTTATATGCTATTTAAATTTGTTTATTAAAAAATTACAACCTAATAAAAATAAATTATATACTCTGCAAGATTTGAGTGACTTGTTTGTTTCACACGTATTAAGACAAGAGGAGTGTAGGAAGACTCTCTTTTCTCAATATCATAAAAGAAAAGAGTAATAATTTACCACATTAACCTTATAAGTATTGTTGGTATTTGCCATGGCCGGAAATGAAAGTGGAAAAAAGACTTAGAAGTAATGCATATAATAATAATTTACATAGTACAATTGATGACTTGTTTTTGAAAATGTATCACTTATTGTTAGATGGAGGGGTAATCAACAAACTTGTGTTGTGTGCTTTTAGAGCTATTTGTTTTGCTTTTACACAGTATACTAGTTTGATGATGGCCACCCTTTCTTTTCGGCTTTTCTTTCCTGTCTCTGTAGATATGGATACTTCCTCTGGTCAAGGCATTCTTTATCCGTTGCACCGTTGTAAAACTCTTCACCTGGTTTGTGGCAACTTTAGCTTTGTGCATTGGAGTATGTTATGTTTTAGTTATTGGGAAGATCATTTGCTTAATTTCAATAGTATTGTCAACTGTGAACTTATCCAAGCTTGTATACAGGTTAGGCATGCCCAAGGGTTTCACAATGTTGAAGGAGACAAGGACCCTAAGGCTTACTTATCTTATGATCTTTTTGATGCAAGCCTGACCCCTGTCGGCTGGAAACAGGTACTTGCTGTGTAATGTAGAATCTCCCAGTTAAGGAAAAAAAATGCTTCAGACTTTCTGTAGAGATTGGTATCAGTGTTATGCCTTAGTATATCTGCAGTTTGTTTCTCATGAGAGAAATTTGTCTGGGTGATCATCTCATTCATTATAGTATAGTTCTCTCTCTAGCAGGTTTTTTCCCTCGATTTTTCAGGTTAATATTTGAAAATCATGGTAGAATATTTGTTGCTTTATTTGACAGGTTGATAATCTGAGAGAGCATGTTAAGGGAAGCGGTCTTTCCGAAAGAATTGAACTAGTTATTGTTTCCCCCTTGTTAAGGTATAGTTTGATTGTAATTTGGGATTCCCATAGTTTTGGTACTAGTTGCATTTTGCCAAGATTTGTTACTTTAGGCGATGTGAATTGAAAGGGAAGAATCGAACTCAAATGACCATATGCAAAACAACAAATATTAAATTATTATTAAAGTATAATGTTATACTGATTTTCCTAGGTTGAGTGAAACTCTGAAGTTTCTGCCAACGCCTACTTTATGACTCTTATTGACAAAAATCTAACAGAGCACAAACATTCAGAGAAAATGTCTCATATTATGTAATCTTTGCGGGATCACACTGATATTTTCACAGAATGTTTATTTTTTTGCAAATCCGTAAGCAAACAAGAGTGTTCTGCTAGATTTTTTTTCTTCAAGTTCTGGTAGGGTGAAGGGGGTTATTCAAATTGCTAGATATTTCATTTCAGGACCATGCAAACAGCAGTTGGAGTTTTTGGTGGTGGAGAATACACTGATGTGAATGGTGCCATTCCTCTGATGAATCACAATGTGGGGAATGGCAGTCGTTCTGCAATTTCTAGTCAGAATTCGCCACCATTTACAGCAGTGGAGCTTTGCCGAGAGCATTTGGTATGTGATAAAGATCTTATTGCTTTGCAATATAGAATCTGGGCTATTGTATCAGCTAATTACGCCAATCATCCATTTGTTTTCTTGATTAATCTGGAAAATGATGCCATATCATGTTTGATCATTTACTGTTTGTTTCTTGAATTTAATACAAATCATTATATCAGTTTATTGGGAGCTGTGGTAAGATGATATTTCCCAGTCCCTTACTTTTAACTCCTTAGTCCAATTCATTTTACTTTACTTTATCTTTAAATTAGATTTGCAAGTCATGTTAAATAGTTTCAAGCTTGTTGATTAGGATGAAGACATGGGGTGTGTGTTGGGATCCCACATTAACTATAAATATGGACAAATTAGTTCTTATAAGGCTTATGAAATTCTCAGTATCTCACCACTTGAGTTAGATTTTGGATTTAAATTTGGGTTGTTTCAAATTCTAAGATGATATCAAAGTCTACCCAGATTTGATATCGGGCCACCTACAAACTACGAGTTTTTGACTAGATATTTTTCCTTTCTTTTCCTATTGAACAATGGATTGACATGTATGGTTTCAGAATTCTCGGGGTGTATGGGCTTGTAGTGATGGGTTTGTTATTTGAGAGGGTAGTAAGAGACTTAAGTTCCACTTTTGCTAGAAAAAGCTCCCTCTAATAGACCTTTGTCAAAAGCTCTTCATTTGTGTATATGCACAAAAATAAGCTACTTTTTTTATCAAGAGCTTTTAAAATTATTGTTTGGCCCAACTTCTACTTTAAAGAAGTAGAGAAGTCCAAAATGAGCTGGCCCAACTTCTACTGTTATCCAAAGATTTTCCTTATTTTCAGTCAGTTGGTTTCTATAATGTAGCTACTAGCTAGTAATTAGATTAGGCTATGATGAGTAGAAAGAAGTTTCAAAATTGAATGGATACTATATTTTATTATTTATAAAAGAATGGCATTGAATTAAACTTAATTTTTGTGTTATGCTTTTTTTTGGGTAATTTAGGGGGTGCATCCTTGTGATAAGAGAAGAGACATCACTGAGTACAAGAATATGTTTCCAGCAATTGACTTTTCACTGGTAAGTGATCTATTTTGATTATCTCAAAAAGTGGATAACAGCTAAGGTGTGATTGATATTTGGTTAGACATGACTCATGCTTCGTATGAACTATGTTTAGGTAGAGTCTGATGACGACATTTTGTGGAAACCTGATATTAGAGAGAAGAATGAAGAAGTTGCTGCCAGGGGACTGAAATTTTTAGAATGGTGAGTGATTAAATAAGTCATGTCTCATTTCGGTGACTATGCATATTTAGTAAGACTGTTATTGAAAAAGAAGTAGGGAGAGCCAAAAGCTTGAGCATACAGAAAAAAAGGTCCACATTACTATGATCGAGACTTAACCAGATATTTTCTAATTGGTTGAAAGTGTTGACTTTTGTACCATTTTGCACTCACTATGATAATGTTAAGAAATCCAGACTATGCCTAAGATTCTATTCATATTTCTGTGATGGCCCAGGTTGTGGACACGTAAAGAAAAAGAGATTGCTGTTGTTACTCACAGTGGTTTTCTTTTTCATACTCTAAGTGCTTTTGGAAATGATTGCCATCCAAATGTGAAGAGTGAAATCTGCACACAGTAAGTATTCATCTAAGAGTAATGTATTGTCTTTCTTACAATGTTCTAAAAATTGAATCCACGGTGTCTTGTCTACAATTCCGTTATTTAAGCAGTTTAACTGCTGTTTTGTCTCAGCTCGAGAGATTTAAAGCAGTTGAACCATAAACTGAATGTCTCTGGTTCAATGTACTGTTCGTAAATTTATCATATATAAGTAGATTATAGTTTGCAAGCCTTGCTTGTATTTTGTTTTTCATTGGAGTGATGGGTAAATTTTTTCTTTTTTAACAGCTTTGCTAATTGTGAGCTGCGTTCAGTGGTTATCATCGATAGAGGGTGAGCATCTTATTTACAGAACAACTTAATACTCAAGCTTCTGCAGAAAATTCAGTTTTTGAGTTTTCAATTTTGTAGGATGATTGGATCAAATCAGTCCTCTACCAACTATCCTGGCAAGATTCCAGACGGCCTTGACCTTCCCAGTGATGTTGCTGACGAGAAACATTCTGCGAGTGAACCAACAAAGTAACATGATGAGATTTTCTTCAGTTATATGATTTCTGCAAAGAATGCTATGTGTCAACTTTTCAAGACGATGATGACAACGATTGCTCCAGTTTAACATTCATTAATGGCCATTGATTTTTACATGGAAATAATAGATATGTTCTTTTACTTTCCCAGTTCCCTTCCTGTTTTTCTCATCATAATTTTAATCCCTGACCCCTTCTTTCACCTCAGAAAGAAAGGATCTTTGTGAAAATTGATAGTTGTAGCCAAAAAGATGAGCAAATTCAGAACCATGGTAAATGTAGTTTTAAAACTGTTACTCATTTGAAATTTGAGTGTGAATCAATTTTTATTTGAAATTTTAGGCTTTGTTCAAATTGATAGAATTAAATGAAGTGATATAAAATGGAATGGTATTAAATTTTATTGTTTGAATTTGCTTAATTCGAATGGAGCAGTCATGAATGAAGATCTATTATAGATGTAGTCCATCACTTACTCATTTTTTCTCTCTCTGATTTGAGTAGAATGAAGATTTTCATGTTTTAGTCCAATTTCATTCTACTTCATTTCACTATATATAGTTTTAAGATATTTAAATATAGTCTTAATGATAGGTTAATATAGACGGCTTAATCTGCAAAATAATAGTTTCCTAAACTAAAAGAATGTCTGTCAATTTATTTATTTCCAAAAGTTTAGAGAAAATTTACAGAATTTTTTTAATGCACTTCATAAGTTTTTTAGCCAGCACATAAAAATACATAAATGCTTTCGGATTTTTGAGATTAATTTTTGGACGCACCAATATATTAAAATATTTCATTGATATATCTCTGGAATATTTTAAATGTTAAATCGCATCAGACCCTTCTTATTCTTCATTTCTCATTTTACTCAAACTCAACTTCAAACTCTCTCAAATTTCTTCTTTTCACCAAGCCAAAACTCAATCAATAAAGCTCAAGGGAACATCAATCATCATCTGTAACATCAAAAACATCATTAAAAACATCAATTTTTTTATAAGTTTTTTTAATTTTCGATAAATTTTTTAATTTTTGCGTAGATGAGTAGAAATCAATTATTAGAATTAGAAATGAGTAGAAATAGTATTTAAGATATGTTTATACATAGTCTATTAGACGTTTGTTGGTTGAGAATATGATCAAAACAAATTTTATGATCAAAACAAATTTTTTTGAGATTGCATGGGGTACATTGACGCCATTGATGCAACTTCTGAGTTGCAGGAAATTTCAGAGATGTATTTCCAGAATTTTTCAGCGTTTTAGTTTTTCAGATTTCGGAGATGCATTTCCGGAATTTTTTCAAGAATACTTTTTACTTTCTTGCTTGTGCGTCGTCTACCTACGGTACTCTGTGGACTTCGAGCGTATCCATGAGTACAACTAGAGGGCCGCTTGTTTGGTCTACCTGTACTCAAAGTTGAGAGAGTGTTGTATGTGGAAGACGAAGCAGGTCACAGGTAGCGTCACACTATTGACGGTAATAATTATTGGTCTTTGAATGTTTATGTCATTTTCATTTCAAACTTGTATCCTGCAACACTTTCTACGCATCTTTGGTTGGACGAGTGTACCGTCTTACATTGAGGATATGCCTAGTGTTACTGCTTTTTCACCCCTCAGAGGGAACCAGGCGACCAAGTCTTATAGAGTCTATCTTGATTGTTTGTATGTTGAGAAAACGTACTTCAACAACTTTGTTGATCACCGTGAGACACATTCATTTGACGAGATAGTGGTATACTATGGATGGTTGGCCTGCGGATTGCGTCTTACTGCTCCCCATCTGTCAGAGCGTGTCATGCGGTTGTTCGAATACACTTAAACCATTTCCATACACCTTGTTGTCTCTGCTCGTCCTGCCTTGACACATAAACAGATAGATGACATGTTTGATGATTATGAGAGTTATCTGGTACCGGAGGAGGCATGGAGTTCCATAGCTAAGAGCTATTGGAGCTACGTCAAAGGGTACATCAGTTGGTTCTTTAGTATATCTTTTCTTTATATCTTTTATAATGGTTTGTGATTACTCACCCTGCCTACTTGGAATTGTTGCCTCTATGTGGGTAACGTGCAGATGATCAGGATTAGCTCTCTTGGTGTGTGAAGATTTAGTTTTGAAGTCTTCTGGTTATTTCTGTTGATTAGAGGGTCTTACTCTGATATGTAACATCGGTTCGGGACGTTTGAGTCGAACCATTATGTTATTTTTCTTGTTGACACCCGGACGCTATGAGTTCTTGTTTTTAAGATGATTTGAGTTATGAACTATGTTATGATTTTTGATTTTTCCGCTGCATAGTATTTGATTAAATTTATGATGATCGATCCCGTGTTACGGAGTAATACGCTATTATGAAGTTTTATGTTGAAATGTGGCACCCTTGTGGTGATGTACTCTGATATAATTGTTTTATTTATCGTGAATGTCCTTTGGAGTAGAAGGGTGTTACAGTGAGCTCCCTGGTCGACTCTTTGGTTTCTCCACCTGACCACCAGCTTTGTTTCCCTTGGACGCCGGGGAGGAATTCGGTCACACTTCTGGTGGCCACGAGCTGAGGCCTTTTCAGTCGTGGGCGTAGTCCAGGTTGTCGCGGGGAGAGGCTTCGCAACTCATCCAATTGGAATTTGCGCGAGGAAGAAGGAGGACGGGTCTCTCGTCGTCGTGGGGACGGGTTACGAGAAATCGGGCGCCGATGTCTCCACAGCAGAGAGCACGATTGTCGTTCCTTCTCCGGCATCCTGATCTATTCTTTCTGCTGGAAGATCATCAAATTCTTATGGTTGATCGCTGTAAACAAGGTCACCACGGTAGGGTCGGCATTGGGCGGCACAGGAATTGGTTGGAAAACAGTTAGACTGTCGAAGTGTTGGGCGGCGTTGTAGGAAGCATCGTCGGGGGAGGGAGAGGCGGTGCGCCCATCCCTAAGGTCATTTTCCTCGATGGGGACAGCCACAATGGGATTGTGGTCGTCGCCGTTGGCAAAAGTGGTGAAAGCAGATTCATGGACGTTATTGTCAACGTGTGGGATGGCCATGACCGACGGAAGTTGAAGGTTTGCTTTGGTCCTTTGGTTTCAGAGGAAGAAAATATGGGGGAGCAAAAGGTTTCCACAAAAGGCGCCACTGATCTTACATGATCTGAAAAAGAGATCAGCAACGAGCAACAAGTCGTGAGCTCCTAATTCGGCGGTGGTGAAGAAGAGGAGGGGGTGTACCTGTAAGGAACTCTAATTCTTAAGTAAGTTTCAGCGAGAGAGAGAGAGAGAGAGAGAGAGAGAGAGAGAGAGAGAGAGAGAGAGAGAGAGAGAGAGAGAGAGAGAGAGAGAGAGAGAGAGAGAGAGAGAGAGAGAGAGCAAGTACAAAAAAGAGTTAGAATACCTGAATCTCTTGTGAAAGAGAGTATTTATAATGTGCCTCCAGCGTTGGGCCAACGATTATCTGCACTGGGTTGGATCATTAGGCCCAATGCGGAGAACTGTCAGGATCTACGTGGCATGGGGAATATCAGCATGTGGTCTTCGTCCTGGGTCAACTGTCCCGTGAACTTTGAAAGGTAGAGGACTTGTTCTCTCGGACACGGGAATTTGGGTGATGATGTATCCCCGCTGGGGAGCACATGGAGACCGTGGGGGAGACGCGTGAGGAGCGTTTATGTGCGAGTTAATGGATTGGGCCTTTATTAGACCCTCCCTGACAAGGAGCTGGGATGGGTCGTGCCTGGCGGTGGGCCAGCCTCTGGCCCTGTCCAGAACAGGTGGCTTTCAAAATCACTATTGTTCAAATTTATTTGAAATTAAGGTGTCGTATACCAAAACATCACTGGAGTGGACGTCGCATTTCACAAAAGATACTGAAACTTAGCAGGATGACTTTTTGGAAAGGATGGAAGATTTCATCAAGTTGAACGAGATTAAAAGAGAATCAACTTATAAAAATTCAAAGGTGGCACCACCAATAGAAATAGATTTAGGTGGTGACATGTGTTCTGATTCTTTTTTGTTTTTATCTAACTATGTGTTTAGATGGTGACTCATTTTTTGTATGTATTGTCATCAACGATGTAATCTGAATATAATTTGATACACATGTAACATATATTCAACAATAATTGTATAACAATAGGTTTCAGTTTTAGAAGAAAAATGTTTCAAACTATTAAATAGATTCTGTATGAACAGTATATCTGTCTGGTGATTTCGGAGATGCACTTCAGGACACACCTCATTTTAATTGCAAAAACTACTAAAACATGGGGTAATTCGAAAATACATCTTCGTAGAAACCCTTATTTTGTAAAAAAAAAATAGGATGCGTTCGAAAATGCATATATATATATATATATATATATATATATATATATATATATATATATATATATATATATATATATATATATATATATATATATATATATATATATATATATATATATATATATATATATATATATATATGGGGTCTCTTATCTCATATGGTTTACAAAAACACACCAGAATGAATACATGTTGTCATTTTGTATTTGTGTATTTCAATAAACCAAAGCTCCACTTCAATAGGGTCACCGAGGACACACCTCCCTTCGATCTGAATTTCAAACTGGATAATCTCCTAGGATATTCAGATAATTAAAGAGTTGTCAAATTCGAGCATCGTTCACACTCGATTGACGTCGAAGAGAAGATACAATTCAACAAGTTTGAGTTGAAGATGGATGGAGATTTAAGGGTTAAGTAGAGTAGATTTTACCGGTACGAAACAAATTGTCTGATTGAAGTGGATGCCGGTGATTACAAGATCGACCAAAGATATTCTAAAAATGTCGAAACGTCCTAGACCATTTGTTTGTAATGTTAAATTTATGTTAACAGTCATCTATGTAATGTTAAGTATTTTGATGTTAATTTATGTTGTTCTTCTAAAATTGTGCAATTGTTTTTTGTTTAATAAAACATCTTATTCTGGAGATGCATCTCCATAGATTTAT